ATAGCAGAAATACCACTACAGGGTGTATATATACATAATTTTACAGTTCTGGGTAGGGGGGCATGCACACGCCCTGCCTGCACTGCTATTCGTGGCCTCGGCTGTCAATCACAGGGTCCCGGATGGTGATTCCCCGCCGACACCCGGCGGTCATCGAGGATTACCGATGGGGAGAGACCATGTAGAAACAACACAGATCTCTCCCCTGTCAGCTCCTGAACCCTGCTTTGTATGGCTCTGCATAGTAGAGCCATACAAAGCAGTGTGCTTACAGTGTAAAGCACACACCAAGTACACAATGAAACAGCACACAGTTAACCCTTTGATCGCCCCACATGTTAACCCCTTCCTGCCCAGTGCCATTAGTACAGTGTCAGTGCTTTTTTATTAGCAATGAATACTATATTGGTGTCACTGGGGATGTGAGTGACATCAAGTCAGTCCCCACCATGTTAGAGCACCCGTTGCAGTCCCACAGTCCTGCTATAAGTCGCTGATCGCTGCTATTACTAGTAGAAAAAAAAATTCCAGTGTATACTGCCATTTGTAAATGCTATAACTTTCATGTAAACCAATAAATTTAATTGGGATTTTTTTTTAGCAAAGACATGTAGCAGAGTACATTTTGGCCTAAATTTTTGCTGAAATGTGATTTTTAAAATTTTTTTACTGGACATGTTTAACCTCTTCACGCCGGCAGCACACAAATGTGCGGCCTCCCGGCGACTGGGCCTAGACACCGATGGCCGCACATTTGGGTGCAATTAACAAAAAACATATGTGCTGAGAGCACGCACCCTACGCGCTCCCAGCACACATGTCCGGTACTCACGGAAAGATCCCGGTCTGATCTTTCGATCGGGACCTTTCCCGATCATGTGACCGCCGTAATGACATGTCACGGCGGTCACATGATCCCTAAACCCCGTTCAGCCTCCCGGCTTCTGAAACTCTTAAAGGCGGGAAGGTGTTTAAAGTAGAGTTCCACTCACTGTTTAAAAATACAAAAACTGTAGCTGCTATCTTTTAAAAAACAGCCACTCACCTGTCCTATGATCCCGTGGTGCCCCTGTTGCAGCCCATTTCACCGGCCATCCTGTATTCCAGGCGCTGGCATCTTCAGTGTGAGCACCCGGCTGTGTGACAGTTTGCGGCTTCACAGCTGGGTGCCTACTGCGCATAAGCGAGTAGAGCTGCGCTTCCTGAATGGCCCCGTAGTCTTCTGGGACCTGTCAGAAGATGTGTCCCCCACAAGACTACGAGAAGGGATGGGTAAGAGGACAACTTCTGCTTCCGATCGACCTTTTGGGTGGAACTCCACTTTAATAGCAAAAAGTCAAAAATAATGTTTTTTTTTTTTTTTCAAAATTGTCAGTCTTTTTTGTTTAAAACTCAAAAAAATAAAAAATGCAGAGGTTATCAAATACCACTGAAAGATAGCTCTATTTGTGGGGAAAAAGGGATGTAAATTTAGTTTGGGTGCAGCATTGCATGACCACGAAATTGTGAGTTAAAGTAACGCAGCGCCGTATCACAAACAATGGCCAGGTCAGGAAGAGGGGGTAAATCCTCAGGAGGGCAAGTGGTTAAAAAACACACACATTCGTTATTTATCACCTGGTGTTTGTTGACGGTATTTTAGAAATGTACAAAATAACAAATTAGAGGAGCTCTGCACTGGCCAGAAAGTGAAAAGTATACAATGTATCACTGTAGAAATTGTCTCCTCTGAGTTCAGGAATGAAGATAAATCGTAACATTTCACTAGAGGGAGATCATTTTGTGAAAACCCACAAGAATGTTTTCAGTTTCACAGTATTGATGTGTGCATTCTAGTACAGTGGTGGCGAACCTATGGCACGCGTGCCGCAGCTGGCACACAGGGCCCTCACTGTTGGCACGCCAGAGCCAAGTCACCCCAGCAGCCAAGCACCTGATAATGGCATCATTGAGCATGCTTGGAAAGGAGAAGGACTCCTATAGGACCGTGTATGACTGCAGGGAGGGGCGATCAGTTACAGCGGAGAGAGTGCAGAGCACGGAGCTTGGACCAGAGGGACCATCATCCACCTGATCAGGGGAAGAGGCTCCGGTGATCGGTGACAGTCTGGTAAGTCCTCCTCACCCGGCAGGGCCGCTGATAAGGGGGTACCACCAGGCCTCCTTTAGGGAGCACGGGCCCTGTCACCTAGCAGGGGGGCCCAGGGGAGGGGCTGTGCTCTGACCAACAGTGCACCCATGGATGAGCACATCGGGCCAGCTCCATCCTTGTACCTCTGTATCTGTTTTGTCCTACCTCATTGCTCCTTCATCCTGCCACAACTCTTTTTTCCTCCACTGCCAGTGTTCAAGCTCACCACTCAACTGCTCATCCCACTCTCTTTCCCCCTTCTGCTTCTTGTCTCTGCACCCCCATTTCCATCATCACCTTCCATTGCAGCACTTCATGTAATAGTAATAATATATGTTGCTTTCCTAATTTCTTACAGCTGGTACTACTACCAACTGCTCATGTACACTCCGTACCCCTTTTCTGTACATACCACCCACCACCTTACACTCAACACTCCTCTCCTGCACATACTACCCACTGCCATACACTATGTACCCCTCTCCTGTACATATCACCCACCACCATACATTACACACTCCTCTCCTGTACATACTGCCCACCATCATACACTCCGTACCCCTCTCCTGTACATACTGTCCACCACCATACACTGTCCTGTACATATCATCTGCCGCCATACTTTTCATACCTCTTTCTTGCACATACTACCCATCGCCATACACTCCTTACTTCTCTCCTGTACATACCATCCACCGCAATGCACTCCATATTGGTGATTAGGTGTACAATAATTGTGCAAAAGAACCCCAAATGCAAACTTTTACCTTTCAATAAAAAGCAGTTTGTATCATTGAAAGCTCTGTTATTGTGTTTTTCTTTTAAAACAAAAGATGGTAGCCTCCCTAGCAGTTTGATTATGTCAGTATTTCTGTGCTCAAAGCGGTACATTATTTTGCATGGAAATATGTTGTTTTTTTATTGTAGGCCTGTAATTTTTAGGAATAACTCACTGAAATCTGTCCGAACAAGAGTCTAGTAAACATTCCGGGGATGATAAAATTTGAAACACGAAATCATAAATTATAATTTAATAAATAATCATAAAAAATAATAAAAAATTTAATTCAATAATGTAATCAAACCAAAAACACTGAAATGTGAAATAGAGCGCCAAGTTCGCACATCACTGAGCAAAGTCGCATAATTGTTTTCAGTGTCTGATGAGGAATTTCCCCCACAAATCATTATCACTCAATTCTGCAAGTGGTTCTGATTTACTATCGCTGTTCTCTATCCGGTCTAAAACCGCTTTTGACCTAAAGGGACGCTTTTGGACGCCATGGACGTTTCTCAGTTTCCAGGCAGAAAGAACAGTAAAAATGCAGGCAGGGCGCCGGACAAAGCACTCGGGACAAAATGTATGTGAAATGGTTTGATACAGGAATGTTATACTATGTGATTTTAGTGTATTTAGTGAATGTCACTTTTTGACATTTTTAAATTTCCCGCCGTTCCGTCCCCCGTACGTTGCAGGGAACCCAGAGGAGATGGCCGGGGACGCTGCAGGGGGGACATTGCGGGAGCAAAGGACAAGGTAAGCGTAGAAGGGATCCCTGAGCAATGCTGCCAGGTATTCCCGAGTGAAGCTCGGGAGTTACCGCTTGTGGTGCTGAAACTTTACCCCGAGCTACACTCGGGAATACCTCCAGGGAGGTTAATGTATGAGTATTTTTTTCTAAACTAAAACCTCAGTATTCAGGTTTAATTGCAATGTTGGCACTTCGCGATAAATAAGTGAGTTTTTGGTTGCACTTTGGGCACTCGGTCTCTAAAAGGTTCGCCATCACTGTTCTAGTACAATGTTAGCCTGCAAAAAAAATTAAAAATTGTGAAAAAACAACACCAAAAAAAATGCAAAATTTAAGTGCTAAATATCGCAAAACATAAATATTTAACACATTCGGTAAATAACACGTTTTTTAGTGAATTGACTACTTTTGATATAAATACCACATGAGTTATTTTAACTCAAAAATTCATGCGCTATTTATGTCTTAGTGAATTGACCCCAATGTGTGACTCAGTAGATAGCAAATAGACCAATGACTATACCCCTAATCCCTACACTAAGGTGGGTCCTGACTAAGTGGCAATGGAAAATAGTGGTCTGACAGTCTCTGGCATACCTTCTCCCACTGGCCAGTGTGTTGGAGCCCATATCTAGAACTGGAGTGCACAAATGTGAGTCCCACAAACTGGGGTGTAAGTGCCAAGCGGCAATAGTGTTCCTTTAACCACTTGCCTACCAGGCACTTATACCCCCTTCCTTACCAGGCCAATTTTCAGCTTTCAGCGCTGCCGCACTTTGATTGACAATTGCGCGGTCATGCAACATTGTACCCATATGAAATTTTGATCAATTTTTTCTCACAAATAGAGCTTTCTTTTGGTGGTATTTAATCGCTTTACTTTTTGCGCTATAAATTAAAAAAAGTGCAAAAAAATTTGAAAAAAAAAAAAAGTTTGTTTCTTTTATAAAATTTTTCAAACAGGTATTTTTTCTCCTTCACTGATTTGCGTTGATGAGGGCGGCACTGATGGGCACTGATAGGCGGCACTGATGGGCACTGATAGGCAGCACTAAAGGGCACTGATAGGCAGTACTAATGAGGTGGCACGGATAGGCGGCACTGATAGACAGCACTAATTAGGGATCACGGATAGGCGGCACTGATATGCAGCACTGATAGGCGGCACTGATAGGTGACACTGATGATGGGTACTGATAGACGGCACTGACTGGCATCACTTCTGGGCACTGACTGGCAGCACTGACTGGCACAACCCCTGGGCACTGACTGGTGGCACTGACTGGCAGCACTGCTGGGCTGCACTGGTGGGTGGCACTGGTGGGCAGCACTGGTGGGTGGGCACAGGTGGGTGGCACTGGTGGGCACAGGTGGGTGGCACTGGTGGGCACAGGTGGGTGGGCACAGATGGGTGGCACTGCTGGGCACATGTAGGTGGCACTTCTGGGCACAGGTAGGTGGCACTGCAGAGTGGCACAGGTGGGTGCACCTGGGCACAGGTGGGGGCACAGGTGGGGGCACTGCTGGGAACAGGTGGGCGGGGCTAGTGGGCGCACTGCTGGGCGGAACTTGCGGGTGTCACTGCTGGGCACCGATCATCAGGGCATTGATCATCAGTGCCCTGATGATCGGTGCCGATCCCCGCTCTGACAACTGCCGGTTCTCGGCAGTACTTTCCTCACGATCTGACAGCGTGAGGAAAGTGCAGCCGAGAACCGGCACTTGCATTTCCCTGTGATCAGCGTGTCATTGGACACCGCTGATCACGTGGTAAAAGGCCGGTGGGATCGGCCTTTCACCACATCACGTGATCAGCTGTGTCCGTAGGACACAGCGATCACGGAGATCGCCGGGTGCGCGCCCCCTGGGGCGCGCAGGAGAGCGCGTTCTGGGAGGATGTCATATGACGTCCACTCAGAACTGGCCGGCCGCGGTGTGAAGCCGTCATTCGGCTATGCACGGTCGGCAAGAGGTTAACCACTAGCCTACAGGACACTTTTACCCCCCTTCCTGCCCAGGCCAATTTTCAGCTTTCAGCACTGTCACACTTTGATGACAATTGCGCGGTCATGCAACATTGTACCCATATGAAATTTTTATCATTTTTTTTAAACAGATAGAGATTATATTTGATGGTATTTAATCACCTCTGGGTTTTTTATTTTTTGTTAAACAAACCAAAAACAACTGAAAATTTTGAAAAAAAAAGTTTTTTCTTAGTTTCAGTTATAAAATTTTGTAAGTAAGTGATTTTTCTCCTTCACTGATGTGCGCTAATGAGGCTGCAGTGATGTGCACTGATAGGCTGCACTGATGGTCACTGATAGGTGGCACTGATGGGCACTGATGAGGAGGCACTGGTAGGTGGCACTGATGGGCATTGACAGGCATCACTGATGGGCACTGAAAGGCAGTACTCATATATGGCTCTGATAAGCGGCACTGATAGGTGGCACTGATAGTCAGCACTGACTGGCACTAATAGGTGGCACTGACTGGCACTTTTAGGTGGCATTGACTGGCACTGTTAGGCAGCACTGACTGGCACTGATAGGTGGCACTGACTGGCACTGATAGGTGGCACTGAAAGTCAGCTCAGATTGGCATTGATATGTAGCATTGATGTGCACTGGTAGGCACTGATATGTGGCATTGATGTGGCACTGATGAGCACTGGCAGGTAGCATTGATGGGCACTGACAGGTGGCATCGATGGGCACTGGCAGGTAGCATTGATGGGCACTGATCATCAGTGCCATGATGATCAGTGTACATGTCCCCTCTGAGTAATGCCGACTACTGGCTTTCCTCTCCTCATGAGCTGTCAGCATGACAGCTCATGAGGAGAGGAATGCCGATAACCAGCATTTCCTTATTTACATGCGATCAGCTGTGATTGGACACAGCTGATCACATGACAGAGCTGACGTCATTGGCTCTTTCCCTTGATCGGTGATCCACTGTGTCCCAGGGACAAAGCACACCACCAGTTGCCGCACTGCGGCCCCAGAGTGAGAGAACCGCCTTGCGCCCATCATTTCCTTATATGGCGGGCGGGAGGTGGTTAAATAGAGGGCCAGGGGCTGACTGGAAACTCATGGGGCCCCCGGGCAATAAGGAATCATGGGGCCCCTGTGTCCTTGCCCAAACTCAAAAAAGCCTATAAAAAAGGTACCAGGGGCATCTCATGGGGCCCCCTACTGACCCCGGGCCCTCGGGCAGTGCCCGAGTTTCCAAATGCTCAGTCCGCCCCTGCTCCCGAGTCCAGAAATAGTCCTTCATTTTCCTCCTCTGTAGGCCTCTGGCAATGCTGGAATCTGTAGTTCAAAAGCAAAACTGCAGCACACGCTGTGTCTGTCTGGGGACTACGTCTCCCCCAATTCCTTGCTCCTCCCAGTAAGCTTTGTCCTCTTCCAAGGTGCACAGCATTACATTACAGCTTTCTCTGCTTTCCCTGGTGGTGGGCAGGGCTTTCCTCTGGCTCTTTCTGTGGTTGCATACACCCCTGGAAATGTTGAGTGATTTGTCTCGTCACTGGAAGGCAAGAAGATGGGGAACGGTGTGTGTTTGAGTGGCTGCAGCATGTGCGACAGCTGTGACAGCCTGGTCACTGGAGTTAAGTTTCTAGAAGTTTAGATGAGATCTGATTGGCTACTATAGGATACTGCACTGTACACATTGGGGTTGATTTACCAAAGGCAAATATAGACTATTCACTTTGTAAGGGAAGTTATACTTTGCAAAGGAATTTTCCCCCAAACTTAGTGAATGTGGAGAAATTTTACTTTGTTTAAAATACCCAATAATGTGCAAGAAAACAAAGAGCAGCATTTTGGCCTGCATGTGATGGGATGAAGGATGACGAAAGTCCATCCACTAAGCCCTGTGGAAAACTCCCTTGCAAAGTAAACATATTTACCTCCAGTAAATCATCCCATTGCATTTAGTTAAAGGAATTTCACCAAATTTAAAAAAAAAAAAATCAGCAGCTACAAATAAAGTAATTACCAGCAGGGCTAGTGCTTCCACTAGGCAAACTATGCAGCCGCCTAGGGCACACTACCACTTAGGGGCACCTGGGCACAGCACAGGCTGGCACTCTCTCTGTGTGGCCTATGGACCACTTCTATGAATTCCTAATTTCTCTGCAGAGTCCCCCTCTCCTTATATACAGGGAATGATGGTATCTTTACTCTGCACATTTGTCGCACAGCCTGTCCACACACATGACCAGTTGGTGTCTTGGACTAGTGTATCAGCTGAGCTGCCATTCCTTCCAGTGTTCCTCTCAGACTTAGTCCCTTACTGCAAGTCGGCTGGCGGCTACTGATCACTGTGAAGTTTTGTAACTGTCTCTTTTTTTTCTGTCTGGTTAATACAGTTAATTTTTATTCGGTTAATATATATTTTGTCTTTAATATTGGTGCTGGTGGAATCTTATGGCACATATTTTTGCAAATTAAAAGTAGTTCAGCAGTTTCCTGTTTTGTTGATTTAATATTTTTTACTGTTTTTAAAAAATTTGTATTATTTTTTTTTCTCGGGGGGGGGGGCACAAGTAGCTTGTCTTGCCTAGAGCACAAACTAGTCTAGTCCGGTCCTGCTTACCAGTCAATGGATTCCAGTGCTGTTTTGCAGCCTTTCTCATCAATGCAGGTCTCTGACACTGTCATTTTAGATTTGGGAGCTGGATTTGACTTCCTGATGAATCACAGCCAGCTCCCTACTGTGCATGCACAAAATTGTGCAGTGCAGGTAGACTGGTCCTGCAGCCTCCTGGGATGTGTATCCTGTCCAGGAGGCTGCAGTCAGGAGGGCAGGATGAACAACATCATCCTCGCCTAGAAGAGGATTGAGGAAGTGGAGTTGTGCACCAACAAAAAAAAAGTACTCTCTCATCCCAACCACACCACTGCCAGGGGCGGACTGACCATTTGGAAACTCTGGCACTGCCCGAGGGCCTGGGGTCAGTAGGGGCCCCATGAGATGCCCCTGGTACCTTTTTCATAGGCTTTTTTGAGTTTCGGCAAGGACACAGGGGCCCCATGATCCCCTATTTCCCGGGGGCCCCATGAGTTGTCAGTCCGCGCCTGGCCACTACCTGCCTGGAGTTTGCATGTTCTCCCTGTGTCTGCATGGGTTTCCTCCGGGTACTCCGGTTTCCTCCCACACTCCAAAGACATGCTGGTAGGTGAATTGGATCCTGTCTAAATTGGCCCTAGTATATGTATGTATGAATGTAAGTTAGGGACCTTAGATTGTACGCCCCTTGAGGGTTAGGGACTGATGTGAATGTACAATATATATGTAAAGCCCTGCGAAAATTGATGGCACTATATAAGTACCTGAAATAATCCCTTGGCGGTATTCCTGAGTGTAGCTCGGGGTTAACTTTCAGTACCAGAAGAGGTAACCCCGAGCTACACTCAGGAATACACAGCAGCGTTGCTCTGGGATCCCTCCAGCACTTACCTTGTCCGGCGCTCCCATGATGTCCCCCCTGCAGAGTCCCCCGGCCATCTCCTCCAGCCGACGCTAGCATCCGTCTTCTGGGTTCCGGTCCCTGCGAGCGTCGGGACGTACGGGGGATGGAACCGACGGGAAATTAAAAAATGTAAAAATGTGACATTCACTCAATACACTAAAATCACATAGTAAAACATTACTGTATCAAACCATTTCACATACATTTTGTCCCTAGTGCTTTGTCCTGTGCCCTGCCTGCACTTTTACCATTCTTTCTGCCAGGAAACTGAGAAAAGTCCATGGCATCCAAAAAGCGTCCCTTTAGGTCAAAAGCAGTGTTAGACCAGCTAAAGAACAGCGATAGTGAATTAGAATCACTTGCAAAATTGATTGGTAATGATTCGTGGGGCTCTATTTCAGATTTCAGTGTTTTTGGTTTGATTACATTATTGAATAAAATTTATTATTATTATATTATTATTTTTTATGATTATTTATTATATTATAATTTTTGATTTCGTGTTTCAAATTTTATCATACCCAGGATGTTTACTAGACTCTTGTTTGGACAGATTTCAGTGAGTTATTCCTAATTACAGGCCTACAATAAAAAAACAACATATTTCCATGCAAAAAAAGGTACCGCTTTGAGCACAGAAATACTGACATTATCAGACCGCTAGGGAGGTTAACTCAGTTACCAGCTGGGGGAGGAGGAGAATGAGCAATACTTCACTTTTCCAGTTGAGTTTCACTTTAAGTCAATCATCACATCGCTGCGATTTAAAATCGTGCAATTTGTCAGCAATTTCAGGTGTGATTTCTAAGACTTTATTGCTACTTGTGAAGCTTTTCAATGATTTTCTTGCAATTTGCAGTGTGATTTCCATTATATTCTATGTATGTGAAATTGCAACAAAACAGCAGAAAAAGTAATGCAAGAACTACTTTTGAAATAGCGCTGCAGCCAATCGCACATGTTAAGACACTGACATTCCCATTCATTAGATGCTATTTCAGGTGTGATTTCAATTCCTAAATCGCACTGGTATTACCAGGCACTAATTGTTATATATTGAATATCTGTTTAGAGAACAAACACATAAGAACTTTTCTTTTGACTGTACAAGTCAGCTCAAATAATACATTTGCCCTCTGCTTAACACGACTTTCACCTTTTCCTTTTGTACACCAAGCTGCAGTATCATGGCTTTAGCTAGTAATTCCTATTGCCTAAGCTGCGTGTGGCGTAACACTACTAATAATACCTGTGTTAACAATACAGCAATTTGCAGTTCCTAAGACTACAGAATTCCTGGCATGTGGCTCTCCTGCATTCCTCTGAGAATGAAATGGACCAATCTAGTCAACGATACAAATGCTGCTCCAGGGACTTCAAGCCTTTGATCTGTACAGTGAGCACTCAGTAAAGTCACAAAACTGTTCAGTGAATGGCATCCTTTGACAGCAACAGTTTGTTGTCATAGCTCACAGGCATATTTCTGTCACTGTATAAAGTGGTCCTTGTGAATGCCTCTCCAGAAATGGCACCACGGTAATTTAACTCCTCTCTTGTCCAAATGAGTTGAACGATTGTGTGTGTTGCTTCTTTATTTGAAATACACCTACAGTGGACTAGCTAGGATACCACGAGAAGAAGTCTATATTACAAATAAATGTATCGCCCCAAGTTTAGGGCCATGTTCTGCAGCTTTTTACGTAGACTAGAATTCATGTCATAATTATGCATGGCTGACTGCACTTTACAAAGTCATTACGGAATTACAGAAAATATTATAGATCTGGCTGCAGTTGTATACTGATGAATGCCTGAGAAATGATTGACAATAGTGCTGCGAGGGGGGTAGTCTCCTCCTTCCTGGCTGCAAGCGCACAAGCAGAACTCATTGCTCATGACACATTGATGGAGCAACCTAAACTCAGTCAAGGTAATATATTGCTGGGGTGGGGGGGGAGATCACTAAGTGTGTATGACATACATGTTATACAGTACAGTGTTCTCAGGTTAAGTACTTCATATTTTTCTGTTTTAATATGGGAATTCAATGTCATTCATATCCATGTCACTACTGGGTAGCATGAGGCCTGTGATACCTGGACCTACAGAGGTTTGCACAGGCAGCCCAACTCCTCCAGGGATGGCAACATCAATTACGTTCCATTGCCATGATAGGTTTTCTGTGGCTCTCCCAGTCACTAGTCTCAAGGAGCATGGAGGAGATTGCAGGAG